GCTATGATGTGTGGGGGGTAAAAATTTGTTCCCAGAATGTAGGCTCCCTATTCACCTCACATATTATTTCTCTTGCTGAGAAAAAAACTTTTTAGTTTGAATCCATCCCATTTGTTGATTCTTGGTTTTAATTCTTGTGCTATAGGCGTCTTATTAAGGAAATTGGGGCCTACCCCCACGTGATGGAGATTAGGGCCTACTTTTTCTTCTATTAGACGCAGAGTCTCTGGTTTAATTCCTAGATCCTTGATCCATTTGAGTCAACTTTTGTGCATGGTAAGAGATAGGGATTCAATTTTATTTTGTTGCATATAGATTTCCAGTTTTCCCAGCACCATTTGGTGAAGATACTATCCTTTCTCCAGTGCATGCTTTTGGCTCCTTTGTCTAATATAAGGTAGTTGTAATTTTGTGGTTTAGTCTCTGTGTCCTCTATTCTGTACCATGGGTCTACCTGCCTTTTTTGGTGCCAATACCATGCTGTTTTTGTTACTACTGCTCTGTAGTATAGTTTAAGGTCTGGTATAGCGATACCACCTACTTCACTCTTCCTGCTTAGAATTGCTTTAGCTATTCTGGGTCTCTTATTTTTCCAGATGAATTTCATAATTGCTTTTTCTATTTCTATGAGGAATGCCTTTGGGATTTTGATCGGAATTGCATTGAACCTTTTGGTAATATGGTCATTTTAATAATATTAATTCTGTCTATCCATGAGCAAGGCAGATCTTTGCATTTTGTAAGGTCTTCTTCTATTTCTCTCTTTACGGTTCTATAGTTTTCATTGTATAGATCTTTCACCTCTTTTGTTAAGTTGATTCCCAAGTATTTTATTTTATTTTTTGAGGATGTTGTGAATGGGGTAGTTTTCCTCATTTCCTTTTTAGAGGATTTGTCACTGATATACAGGAATGCCTTTGATTTATGGGTGTTGATTTTATATCCTGCCACTTTTCTGAATTCATTTACTAGTTCTAAAAGTTTCTTGGTAGACTTTCTTGGGTCTTCTAGGTATAGAATCATATCATCAGCAAATAGTGCTAGTTTAAGTTTTTCTTTTCCTATGGTTAGTCCTTTAATTTCTTTTGTCTTCTGGCCAGTGTTTCAAAAACTATGTTGAATAGAAGTGGTGAGAGAGGGCATCCCTGTCTTGTTCTACATTTTAGAGGGAATGCCTTCAGTTTTTCTCTGTTTAGAATGATGCTGGCCTGAGGCTTAGCGTAGTTAGCTTTTACAATGTTGAGATAAGTTCCTGTTATCCCTTAGTTTTTCTAGTGTTTTGAACATAAAGGGTGCTGTACTTTGTCAAATGCTTTTTCTGCGTCTATCGAGATGATCATATGGTTCTTATCTTTAAGTCTATTGATGTGATGAATTACATTTATTGATTTCTATATGTTGAACCAACCTTGCATCCCAGAGATGAATCCTACTTGATCATTGTGCATGATCTTTTTGATATGGTTTTATATCCTATTTACCAGAATTTTACTGAGGATTTTTCCATCTATATTCATTAGAGATATTGGTCTAAAGTTTTCTTTCTTTGAGGTGTCTTTGTCTGGTTTTGGAATCAGGGTGATATTGGCCTCATAGAATGAGTTTGGAAGTACTCCCTCTTTTTCTGTTTCCTGAAATAGATTGATCAGTATTGGTGTTAGTTCTTCTTTAAAGGTCTCGTAAAACTCAGCTGTATATCCGTCCAGTCCTGGGCTTTTCTTGGTTGGTAATTTTTTGATGGCTTCTTCTATTTCCTCACTTGATATTGGTCTGTTTAAGTTGTATATATCTTCCTGACTCAATCTGGGCAGATCATATGACTTAAGGAATTTATCAATGCCTTCACTATCTTCTATTTAATAAATTAGAGTATAAGGTTTCAAAATAATTTCTAATTATCTTCTCTATTTCTGTGTTGTCTGTTGTGATATTGCCTTTTTCATCCCGTATTCTTGTAATTTGGGTTCTCTCTCTTCTTCTCTTCATTAGCATGGCTAAGGGTCTGTCAATCTTATTTATTTTTTCAAAGAACCAACTTTTAGTTTTGTAATTTTTTCAATTATTTCTTTTGTTTTGATTTCATTGATTTCAGCTCTGATTTTAATTATTTCTTGCCTTCTACTGCATTTGCTGCTGATTTGTTCTTTTTCTAGGGCTTTGAGATGTAGTCTGAGGTCATTTATTTGTTGGCTTTTTCTTCTTTTAAGGAATGAACTCCATGCAATGAATTTTCCTCTTAATACTACTTTTATAGTGTCCTAGAGATTTTGATATGTTGTGTCTTTGTTTTCATTTTCCTCTAAGAATTTTTTAATTTCCTTCTTGATGTCTTCTGTAACCTATTGTTCATTCAATAGTATATTGTTCATTCTCCATGTGATGTAGGAATTTTTCTTCCTTATTTTATCGTTGATTTCCAATTTCATTTCATTATGATCAGATAAAATGCATGGTAATATCTCTACTCCTTTGTATTTGCTAAGAGTTGCCCTTTGGCATAATATATGGTCTATTTTTGAGAAGGATCTATGTGCTGCTGAGAAAAAAGTGTATATCTGCATGATATTGGTTGATGTATTCTACATATGTCAATTAAGTCTAAGTTATTAATTGTGCTATTGAGTTCTATATTTTCTTTATTCAACATTTTTTGGGAAGATCTGTTCAGTGGTGAGAGAGGTGTGTTAAAATCTCCCATGATTATTGTGTTGTGGTCTATTTGACTCTTGAACTTAAGAAGAGTTTGTTTGATGAACATAGCTGCACCATTGTTTGGAGCATGTATATTAATGATTGTTACATCTTGATGGTGAATGGTTCCCTTGAGCAGTATGTAGTGTCCTTCTTTATCCCTTTTGATTAACTTTGGCTTGAAGTCTATTTTATTTGATATGAGTATGGACACCCCTGCTTGCTTCCGAGGTCCATGTGAGTGGTATGATTTTTCCCAACCTTTCACCTTGTTGTTTATATGTCTTTTCCTATCAGATGAGTCTCCTGTAGGCAGCATATTGTTGGATCTTTTTTTTAAAAATCCAGTCTACACTGGGTAGAAATCTTTAGCTGAAAGCTGATTAATCTGGAGAATCCAAGATGACTTCATTCATATGCCTGTTACTTCAGTTGGGCCAGTTGGAAGGAAATTTGGATTCATCTCGGACTCCTTTCTATCCTGTCTCACTAGCAGGGTAGTTGAAATTCTTACTTTCTTGGGACTCCAAGAGCAAAATATTTCAAGAGATGGAAAATGTAACTATTAGCCCCCTGACCTGAGTGACTCTGGCACAGGTCTATTCTACTCTTTCCACTGGTGAAAGGCATAATGCAGTTTAGCAGAGAAAAGGAAGGGAGCCACATAGAACATGCTGAGGGTGAAAACCTAATGTAATGATTATACAAATGTATTTGCACATTGGGCTGTTCATCTGTCTACAGAAAGAGATGTGCAATAATCTTTAATTTTCTGCACATGTCCATGTTGCTTTCTTTTTAGACTGTGGGAAAAATAGCTGTCAAAAAGTCATAGGTTTTTGAGCCATAAGAGACATTTGTCCTAGTCTTAAGATTCTCCATGCTCTATAAATTTTTTTTAAGAAATTAAAAGAAAATTGTAGGAAATGGTTCACATGCCTATAGTCCCAATTACTTGGGAAGCTAATGTGGGATGATCAATTGATTCCAGGAGTTTGAGATCAGCTTTGGCAACATAGCAAGACCCTGGGTCTGGAAGGAAGGACAAGAGGAGTGGAGGAAGAAGGAAGGAGGAAGTTCAAATGAAGTTAAATGACTTGTCTTAGCGACTTAAAGTAGAAGCAAGTCTTTTGACACTTTTCGTGGACCTCTTTCCAGAGCATATTCATCTCATCCTTGGGTCATTCCAAATAAAAAAAGAAATAAAATGTGTAGAATTTTATTTTTCCATGGAAGACAGTAGATCTTTCAAAGAGATGAAAGAGTTTCAATAGGGCAGTATATCACAGGGTGATAGGGAGGGTCTTTGATAAGCCTTAATAACTAAGGCTTAATAACTAAGGTATGAATAGAAAAATTACTATAAATATTAACCTTCCACTAATTTACCCTAGAGATTACCATTGGGTATTGTTTTATTTTCATGTTGTCATAGTAGTTCTGAAATTAGTTTTGTACTATTCATGTCTTACCATGTCTTGTAAAGAGTATGCCAAGTATGTAAAATTTTAATTGTATTTGCATTATATATTTCTGACTTTTAAAAGTAATAATAATGCTTATGAAGATGAGGTAAAATTATACCTGCTTATGTTTGAAGGAAACCTTTCATTCTATGGAGAAATCAGAGCAAATATCAATATTAGCTTTGTAAATCATCACATGAATTACTTTATTCCTTTGTGCTCCTAATGTTTTCTCAATACTTAAAATTTTGTAAACATTTTAGTTAAATTTGACTGAGATTCTGAGTATAAAACTCAGATCAAGATTTTTTTCTTAAAATACCCTTTAAAGGTTATACAGTCCTCCATCAAGGTCATTTAGGTTTATGAGTCACATGATGCCTCCCAGTCTTGTTGCTGTAAGAAGTCCCTTGCATTTTCAAATTTCTGTGACCTCAGAGTAAATGCTGATGTCTGGAGACCTAACATGATGATAATACACATGTATTTGTGCATTAATTTATTCTGTGATTTTACAAACGCAAATTAAATTTTTTGGGTGATAAAATTTCACAGCCCTCTTTCCTGAAATAACTTACTAGTTTTCTTATTAAAATAACTGAATTAAGGAAGAATTAGTTAATTACGTAGTGGGTAACTATAGGTTCCAGAGTGTGTGCTTTAAGCAGTAACTAGGTTTTGGCTTACTGTACCCTGTGAAATTGGTTGGTAACTAGATTATTTTAAAACAAGGTAAGACGCGAGGTAAGGGGCATATCTCAGTAGTAAAGTTCATTCTTAGCACGAAGGATGCCCTGTGTTTAATACCAAGCACCAACCAAAACAAAAACAAAAAGGCAACTCTTAAGTTTTGCTAGCTGCCTTTGAGTAGGGATGTGAATCACTGAGAAATGTAATGACTTTCTTCCAGACTGTTGGTGGTGGAGCAGTACAAGAGAGGGTGCCAGAGTTGGATAACAGTGGGCCAACAGAGCAGGACAAAAACCATTCTAACAGCAGCACCTTGTCTGACCGAAGACTCAGCAACACCAGCCTTTGTAGCATTGAAGAAGAGTACCGAACAGTGTATGAAATGGTGCAGCGGATTCTCTTGTCAACACGTGGTTATGTCAATTTTGTGAATGAAGTATTTCGCCAGGTTAGTATGTATTTATGCATGTGTTACCAGTTTATGAAACTGAAGAAATCTTTGTTCTTGCTTGTATTAGCCAGCTTCCTGTTACTCTAGAAAATACCTGAGATAAATACATTTGAAAAGATAAAAGGCTTATTTTAGCTTATAGTTTTGGAGGTGTTAATCCATGACCAGTTGGCTCTCTCACTTTATCCTTGTGGCAACACAGTACATTATGGCAAGAGCAGGAGGCAGAGGAGTCCTGTTCACTTCATGGCTGGGTGTGAAAAATAGAGAAAGAGGAAGAGTCCAGGGTCTCACAATCCCCTTTCTAGGCATGATCCTAGTGGTGACTAAAACCTTCCTCCAGGGCACACTTCCTGAAGAGTTTCTACCACCTTCCCATAGTGCCAAACTGCAGACAAAGCTTTTATTTATTTTTTTTTAAATATTTTTTTAGTTGTAGTTGGACACAATACCTTTATTTTTTATTTTTATTTTTTATGTGTTTCTGAGGATTGAACTTAGTGGCTCGCACATGCTAGGCAAGCACTCTGCTGCTAAGCCACAACCCCAGCCCCAACAAAGCTTTTATTAAATGCATGGTCCTTTGGAAGATATTCCAAATTCACATTGTTTTTTTAATTATAACATTCCAAGAAAGACTGTTGATGAGTTGGGCTGAATTATAGAAGTCAGTAATGATCCATGAAATCCTACTTTTTGTGATCCATAAAAAGGCTTTTTTTGTGATTTAAAAAAAAAGTTTTGTTTTTGAAACATTCCTTTATAAGGAAAGAAAACTCAACCAATATCTTAATGTTTCCATAGCAAACTAAATAAACTCAGAGGTAGGTGGTGAGTGCCTGAGTACCCAGAAACAAGTGGACCTAATAACAAAGAAGCTGGTTTGTTCCCTGAAGGGAGTCCTGTAAAATGTACGTTCCTGAGAAAGGAAAAGTACACATGAGAAGTATTTATGGCAAGAGAAAAAGCTGGATGGGGAGGGGAATAAAAGGAGAGAAAGGAGCGCTGAGGCTGAGACATGAAATAGAAACTGGTAAATGCAAAGGTGCTGGGAAGAGAAAGTAAACAAGTAAAGAGGTGTAAGCAAGGGAGGGAAGAAATTAGCAGCCACAAGTGACATCAGAAGTTTGCAGCCAGGGCTGATATTGCCCTCTACCCCTTTTGGTTGGGGGACACACTGAGCAATGTCTAGAGACTATTTTGATCTTGATAACAGAGAAGGGGTGGTACTGACATGTAGTGGGTAGCAGTCAGAATGTTGTTAAATATTCTGCAATGCACAGAACAGCCCTCATTCTTAATTACCATCACAACAGAGAACTATCCAGCCCAACATGGCAGTAGTGCTTTTGTGGAGAAATTCTAAGCTAGAGTCCTCTGACAGAGCAAGGAGAACCCTCCACATGGGTTTTAAATTGCATTTATTGCTCTTTCTTGGTTAATGATGGTTTTCTTATACAGAAGACAAAATGTGATTTCTTTCATAATAATTTGTTTTTCAATTTTAAATAAAGATATTCAGAAACTATTTAAGTCTAAAGGATATTAAAGTTTAAAATGGACATTCAAAAAATGCATATTTTCAGTTGGGAGATGAGATATATGCATATACCGCAGAGAATAGTGTGAGATGGTGGAAGATCAGATGTCCCCTTGTTATATGAGATTAAAGGCAGACAGGAAGGTTTGCGGCAGGGGCTAAAGGATCAGGTGGTGCAAGTCACCTGATACAGGATGGTTCAGCAACTTGAAGTAGTAGAAATAGTAATTGAAGAAAGATGAAATTCAGCAATGTTCAGGACAGCGTTCATCTCTCCTACCCCCAATAGGAAAGACAGGCAGTGGTAGAGTGCTTAAGTGTGAGCAGTTATGGTCACTGGGTGGATCCACTAGAAACTGTTTTTTAACTAGAGTTTTTCAGTTAGATGAAAAACTGTTGTGCCCCTTTGTATAGGTCATGAAATCAGCTGGGTGAGTTAAATCCGGTTTTATTTTTTTAAATAATAAAATAGATCAAAACATTCCACAATGTACTTCATGTTACAAGGATTAGTATTTCTCTGTGAAACATGATTTATTTATGTAATACTCTCTATATATAGATGCATATATCCTATAACATGCCTTGCTTAGGTAATGATCTGAATAGTTTGAAGCATTGTTCTAAAGGATGTTTATTCATGGGGTTGTTTTGTATATTGATTTTATTTTAAAGAATAATTTTATTAAAAATATGTTCATTAGATAAATACAGTCTATAATTATGGAAGAGAAAGCAAAAACAAATTGCTGAAAATACCACCATCTAAGTGATCATCATTAATGTTAGAAGAATATCATTCTAAGTATTTCAGTATGCGTATGTGTGTTTATTGACCTTGCTATCCAAATAGATGAGACACCTGCAGAGAGCAGCTGGATAAGAAAGGATGTAAGCAGGTTGGCAGGTGGGCAAGAGTGTGTCAGGGGACCTGAAAGCATAAACATGCCAGAAGTCATACATAGAAGATCAGACAGATAAGTGTAAACAGTCCAACTCTCAAATATGGAATTAAGCAGGTTGGTGGGAAAGTTCAGATAGGAGATGCAAAAAGGCAGACAAGTGCAAATGGACAGGTCGGGAAGCAGAGATGAAATGGGCAGGCAACCATGTGCATGGACAGGTAAAAGTGGAATAGGACAGATCCCAACTGAGATCAAGGCGAGGGTAGATAAGTACAAGTGCCAGGGGTCAGGATGGGGACTGAGAAAATATGACAATGGAATCTTTAATTCTTCAAGAGTTTTTTTTTTTTTTGGTGGCACCAGGGCTGTAATCTGGGAGTGTTTTGTCCCTGAGCTCCATCTGCATCCCTTTTTAAAATTTTAGATTGAAATTGGGTCTCTCTAAGTGATCCAGGCTGGCCTCAAACTTGTGATCCTCCTGTCTCAGCCTCCCAATTTACTGGGATTATAGATGTGCACCATGCTGCCTGATTTGGAATAATGTTTTAACTACATGTTATAATTTTAGGTACCACTATTGAATTCCTGTTATGAAATATGAAATTAGCAGCCTTATATTTTCTTCAGCCCCCTCTCTCCGTCTGCTAACTTTATTATAGTGTAAATTTATCTCATCGTTTGAAATTGATTTTGGAATGTAAAGGTACAGAGTTGTTCAGACTTGGTTCTGGTTTTAGTAGATCATTCTTCTTGGTTCCATAGTTCTAAAATACTTGCTTTGATTGACTTTGTGGTTTGCCTTGATTTGTCATTGAGTATTTTCAGTAGGGTGTCTGGAATTCTGTTCCATGAGTTCTTTTAAGATGGCAAATGTTTTTCTTTTGCTTTTAACATGTGATCAGCAGCTGAGCTGGGTTTAATAATATTGGTTTTCTTTCATTTAGGAATTTGTAAGCCAGAACCTTTTTAGGCATACAATTCAGATGCAGGAAAACCTCATAAGGACTTCAGTTATATAATTGAAAGTATAGAATTAGTAGATTTGACATTTTTAAATAATTTAAAGACAAGTTTGAAAATGTTGCAGTAAACAAGAAACTGCAACACATGACCAATTCATATTTGTTCAGGATAAAATAGAATTTCTGAAATGTTGAAAAAAATGTAATAATTGGAATGTTAAAAGAAAACCTCAGTGGGTAAGTTTAATAGTAGATTAGATGCAGCTCTATATGGATGAAGAAGCTGTTCTGATTTTACCTCAGAGACACAGAAGTGAGAACCGTAAGAGTGGGAGACATGGAGAATCTAATGAAAATGGCTTATGTGTTCTTTTTTTTTTTCTTTTTTTTTATTGGTTGTTCAAAACATTACATAGTTCTTGATATATCATATTTCACACTTTGATTCAAGTGGGTTATGAACTCCCATTTTTACCCCGTATACAGATTGCAGAATCACATCAGTTACACTTCCATTGATTTACATATTGACATACTCATTGTCTGTTGTATCCTGCTGCCTTTCCTATCTTCTACTATCCCCTCTCCTCTCTCCTCCCCTCCCCTCTTCTCTCTCTACTCCTTCTACTGTAATTGATTTCTCCCCCTTGTATTATTTTTCCCTTTCCCCTCACTTCCTCTTGTATGTAATTTTGTGTAACCCTGAGGGTCTCCTTCCATTTCTATGCAATTTCCCTTCTCTCTCCCTTTCCCTCCCACCTCTCATCCCTGTTTAATGTTAGTCTTCTTCTCATGCTCTTCTTCCCTACTCTGTTCTTAGTTACTCTCCTTATATCAACGAAGACATTTGGCATTTGTTTTTTAGGAATTGGCTAGCTTCACTTAGCATAATCTGCTCTAATGCCATCCATTTCCCTCCAAATTCTATGATTTTGTCATTTTTTAATGCAGAGTAATACTCCATTGTGTATAAATGCTACCTTTTTTATCCATTCATCTATTGAAGGGCATCTAGGTTGCTTCCACAGTCTTGCTGTTGTGAATTGTGCTGCTATGAACATCGATGTAGCAGTGTCCCTGTAGCATGCTCTTTTTAGGTCTTTAGGGAATAGACCAAGAAGGGGAATAGCTGGGTCAAATGGTGGTTCTATTCCCAGCTTTCCAAGAAATCTCCATACTGCTTTCCAAATTGGCTGCACCAATTTGCAGTCCCTTATGTGTTCTTTTTTGTTTGCTGTTCTAGTTGCTGAGAGTAAACTTTTATGATGATGAATTTCCCTTTTTTCCCCTTGAAAGTCTATCAGTGTTTGCTGTATTTTTGGCAAAACGTTAGCTGCAGTACGAATTTAGAATTGTTGTATGTTCCTCTGGATCGAATTTAAGAAACTTCTAGCGAGGCCCTAAGCAACTCAGGGAGACCCTGTTTATAAATAAAATATTTCAAAAGGGCTGGGGATGTGGCTCAGTGGTTAAGCCCCTTAGAGTTCAATCCCTGGCTTCCCCCTCCCAAAAAAGCAGCTTCTCTCTTTAGTAGTGCTTTTTTTTTTTTTAATGTTGCCTCAAATTCTTAATATAGCTCTGCCAGTTTTCTTTTGGTTAATGTTCGAATGCTATACGTGCGCATATGTTTTGGTTATTCTCTTATGAATCATGAATAAATGTTTTTAATTTTTTTCTTGTGGTACTGGCATTGAGCATAGGGCCCCATGCTTGCTAAGTAAGTCCTCTACCACTAAGCTATATCCTCAGCCCTTGAATTGTTTTTTAAATCCAGTGTTATAACCTCTGCCTTTTAATTGGAACATTATTCCATTCACATGTAACACAGCAACTGCTTCTATTGGGTTTGTGTGTGGTATATGCCATTTTGCTTTTTAATTGTGTTGAGTTCTTTCAGTTTTCATGTTTTTAGTATATCATTTTTCTCCTCTAATTAGATTAGTAGTATTATACTAATTTGTAGTTATTTTAATGATTAACAACATGTATCCCTAACTTAAATTTAGTATTAACTTCAACATAATTAATAATTTTTAGTTCCATTCATTCCTTCTCAGTTTTCCTGCCTTTGTTATCTATTCAAATTCTATTTTATGTGTAGAATATATATATTCTATGTTTTTAAACTATTGTCAATTCTTTAATTTTTGTATTTCAGAAATATCATCATTTTATCCAGTTTTATTCATATATATCATCATATACTTTCCTATCTGCATTTATACAAATCCCTTTTGTTATATTTTATTCCTTCCCTAATCTCTGACTGAGGATAATTTTGGTTCTGCCCAGCGGATAATTTTTTAATATTTACCTTAGTTCATGTGTTTTGGTAACACATTTTTCTTATCTGAAAATGTCTGTATTTTGCTTTCATTTTTGAAGTATATTATTTCTGGGTGTAAATTCTACCATTATTAACTATTTGCTTTCTGAACTTCAAATAATTTTGTTCATTACTGTTCATTGTTTATAACTCATTACTGTTCAGTGGCTTCCACTTGAGAGTCATGGTAAGTCATGTGGTCATTACTTTGGAGGAAATGTCTTTTTTCCCTCTTTTTTTTTTTTTTTTTGGTACTGGGGATTGGATCTAGGTCACTTAACCACTGAGCTACCTAGCCAATCCTTTATACTTCTTATTTTGAGACAGGGTCTTCCTAAGTTGCTCTCGAACTTCCTGCCTCAGCCTCCCAAATTGCTGGTATTACAGATGTCTGCCACCACACCTGGTCTCTGTCTCCTTTAAATTTCTTGGATTATTTTTGATTTTCATTGCTTTAATGGTAATATGCTTTGTATTCATCTTGGTTTTTTGTGTTTGTATGTGATTCTTGAATCTGTGGATTGATACCATTCACTAATTCTGTAAAACTCTCAGCCATTCTTTCTTCTAATATTATTTTCTTTTTTTTTCTTCCTTCAAACCATGCATATAGAGTAACCTTTTCATTGTATTTTCTCTCCAAAAGTGTGCATAAATAAGAAGCAATATCTGTTGTTTTTCCTTGCTTCATTCTGGATATTTTCCTCTGATATTTCTCCCAGTGTTTTCTTCAACTGTTTCCATTTTGTATATGTGGATATACACTGAGTTATTACTTTTGGTTATTTTATTTTAAAGTTTTATTTACTTCAGTTTTTGATACTCTCATTACTTAGATATTCTATGTTTTAAAACTATTGTCAATTCTTTAAATTGTGGTTTTGTTTGAATTGACATCTTTGCTCATATTTCTGATTTTTATTAATATGTTATATATGATATTAACCAGGTTGTTCATAGAAATAATTTTTGGTTTACCATGATTTTATTTTCTTTTAAGGAGTTATTATTTGTTTTCCAGGAGTAGGACAATGTACCATACTTTTATATTGGACTTGAGTTACATGGTTGTCTATATTTGATAAAACTGATTTAATAGTTTTCTTAAGATTTTTGCATTTCATTGTTTGTAAATTTTACCTAATAAAGTAATGTTGAGCTCTAGTCAGTGATATGCATGCTGAAGAGTTGATGGATGAAGAGAGTACTGAAATGCATCAAAAATAAAGTAGATTTAATGAAAGATGTGTAAGAGGGGTAGATTCACAGATAAATGTGTGATAAAGCAAATACAGCAGTGTCTTATGGTGGAATCAAAGCAGTGATTATATGAGCATTCACTGTAAAAATCTATACGTGTGAAAATTTTTGTAATAAAAATTCAGGAAGATCATTAGAATGGGATACCCTTGTACTTGGTCATACTGTGTGTGTGTTGAGCTTCCTTGAGCTGTACTTCAGGATATTTGATACATTGATACATTATAGTCTTATTATAACACAAACTCCTCTGTTCTAGAATTTAATATGATGTAACCATCATCCATGGAGATTTACAAATTGTAAATATGTTATCTTTTTATTGCTGTGACCAAAATACCAGACAAGAACAACTTAGAGAAAAAAAGTTTACTTGGGTGCATGGTTTTAGAGGTCTCAGTCCATAGTCAGTTGACTCCTACTCTGGGCCTGAGGTGGAAGGGCTTGGTGGAGGGAAACTTCTCAGCTCATGGCAGTTGGAAATAAGAGAGCAAGGAGCCAGGGACAAAAATATAATTCTTAAGGGCATGCCCCGAGTGACGTAATTCCTCCAACCATGCTCCACATGCCTGCAGTTACCACTCATTTATCCATTTAAATTATTAATCCATAAAATGGATTAGTCTACAATTCTCATAATCGTGTCACTTCTGAACACCCCATATCAGCAACATGACCTTTTTGGGAGACAGTTCATATCCAAACCATAAAAGCATGCATCCATGTTAAAGTGAAATCTGCTTATAATGGCATCCTCTGGCAGGAACCTTAAGATCGCTATTAAAACAAGTCCCAGAGACTTGATATAAAGACCTGAATTTGAGGATTACTAACTTTAGAACCTTTGGAAATTATCTTTAGTACTCTGAGGCTTAGTGTTCTTATCTGTGACATTAAAGCAATTATCAAATTCGGGGTACCTATTTTTCCTGCCCACCTTGCATACAAAAATAGCTCTTAAACTTGAAAAGCAAAAGGCAAATGAATTTCTCCTTTAAATCCTATATTTCTGGAATCTGATCACATTAATTCAAAAGCCTTATGTGCAAATATGTAAGGTGGTTCTTTAATACTAAAAAGTGCTTATAAGTATGCATAATGCTAACAACTGGCCAGTGGCTCTTATTAATAATGGCAACTGTACTTAGTGTCATTCTGATGTTGAAAGCTGAGAAGAAAGGAAAAGAAGGAAAAAAAAAAGGCCAGGAAAACGCAGATTAAACAAATAAAGCAAAATAATGATTGCCAACTGCTGTGTTATAAGTACTCCAACCCAGACCAATTCAAGCCATCACTGTGATGTCACTGAACATGTGATAATCAAAAAAATCTCTACAGGTATATGATTTGGTTATTTCTGTGGAAATATGACTCAGAATATAGAATTTGTTTTTTAAACTTCATTATGTTTCCTGGCCCAGTTATGAGAACATCTTCTGTTCTTTGAAAGTCCACACAGAGATGTGTGGACTTTTGTGGTATATTTATTTACAACCTCTATTTCTGAAATTAGTGATGGTCCCTGGAAATGTCTGTTTTGTGATCTGACCTCAGGTAGAGTTAAAGGGAGTTTTCTCTTTTCCTTTCAGGCATTTTTGCTGCCTTCCTGTGAAATAGCTGTAACAAGAAAAGTAGTTCAAGTGTACAGAAAGTGGATCCTGCAGGACAAACCTGTGTTCATGGAGGAACCAGATAAAAAAGATGTTGCCCAAGAAGCTGAAAAATTAGTATTTTCAGAGACTGACAACAAGGAGGTAAATTTAGTGCCTGTATTTTGAGTTGGGAGTATATATATTTTAGCAAAGTAAATCTGCTCAGTCAAGAGTCCCACTTAGTTGGACGCAGGCAGGCAGATCTCATATGCTGTTTGATGAGTGGACGAGTTCTGTGAGGACTTGCTTCAAAGAGACATCCTCTGTGTTCTGATCTATATCACAGTCGTCTCCTAAACCTCGGGCTAGGGCCATATGCATGGTGTCATTGTTAGTGTTCTAAGAGGGTTGTTTAACAAGCCATCATATTTCACAGGTGAAACTAAAGAAGATACTGCTTTCTCCTCAACTTGTTTAAATAAATAGCATTTGGAGGAATGCTATTTATTTAAACAACATTTAGAAATTAGGAAAAAACATTTAGAATGTTTTTTTTTTTCAGAATTTTCTTGTGCATTAAACTGTACAGGAAGCAATTGGGTGTTAAATATTTGAAAGGACTAGCCAAATAAATAGCAAATGTTGCCTGTACTATCAAGAAGGAGTACTGAATGCTGTCCTCCTGAAGGGCTGCTGTCCATATTAGATAAAGCAAGAGGTTGGATAAATCTAAAACCATAGGTGCAACCCTTCCTGAAACACAAAAGAAACTTAAGTCATATTTATATTTCTGGCATGCTGTTTTGAAACTAATTTAAAATATTTAAAAATCTTAATCAGAGCCATATTACTTTTAAATATCTGTATTAATTCCATAATTTTATGTTTCTGTATTGTTGAAATCACTTTAATAACTAGTCATGATATTGAAATGAGTAAGCAAGCAAATGAAATTTCTGTGTTTTAGAGGCCTCTTTTGCTCCCTCAGGCATTAGACAAACATGACTCATTTCTTCAGCATATACTAAGAGATATACACTATTTTGGGTGCTAGAACTAGAGTGGTGAACAAATAGAGATCATATTTTCCTAAACAGAAAAAAAATTGCTCTCTCAGAACCTGTTTTCTTGTGAATTTCAGCAGATGTAAGAAATTAAATGTATTGAGTTGGGGCATAGTTCAGTGGTACAGTGCTTGCCTAGTATGGACAAGGGCCTGGTTAAATCCCCAGTACTAGAAAAAAAAATAAACCCAGAAAGAAAAGAAATTAAATGCTCAAACATATGCTTCTTTGCACTTTGTTAATGGATTATTATTTTCTGAAGGTCTCATCTGAAAATTCTGGTCATAAACGATCTTCCAGTTGGGGACGCACATACTCTTTCACAAGTGCCATGAGCAGAGGATGTGTGACAGAAGAGGACAATACAAATGTGAAAGCTGGTGCCCAGGCTATGCTGCAGGTATGCTGCTGACCAGGACAGGAAGACCCGCCTCCCCAGCTGGAGGAATCATTTTGAGAATATTGTTTAGCAGGAATAATATCATATTAAATGTGGTTATATTTTTAGCCACCTGGTAGTATTTTACCATTTAGCTTCTAAATTATTATTCTAATTTTCTATTTAATTTCCTGCTATAATTGTTAAAGTTATTTTTTCCTAGTCAAAAAAGACATGAGAACTGTTTGCAGTTTTATGAGAGGAGTTATTACACAGTAAATGTGAAATGTCTGAGATTTAAAAGTTTCTTTCAAATACATGGGAGCAATTACTTGGATGCTAATTTGTAAGGCAAGTTTGGTGATTATATATCTTATAAGTAATATTCCTCTTAAAAATTGCCTATATTTATAAAGAACAATGACTAATGTAATAGCTTTTGGCTATATGTCTGAATGAACATGTGAAGTAAAGCCCATACATTTGGAAACATTGGAAAGAGCAGTTTTGGCTCCTTATTTAACTTCCCTAGATCTCAGGACTTTTATTAAAGAAATGGAGATTGGGAGATTACCTCTAAGGTCCTACATAGCTTGAAGGCAATTAGGAGTATAAGTGAAAATATAGGGTACCTCTTATTCCCCTGTTCCCTGGCTCCCTAGCTTTCTTTCGCCTGAGTTTATAGTTATATCCAGTTGGGCATCCCATGAAGAGGTCAGGCATGGAGTATTTTTAATATTAATCATTGGATCTGTATATTTATTTTGAAATCCATCCACTGGTGAGCCAGAGAAGCACTGTTTGTGTTTTTGTACTGTTGCACATAAAGGAGCCCTAAGAAGGAATATATCTTTAGATAGATAAAACTGATCTATCCTCATCAGCAGATTGACAACTCACAATATCTGAGATTGATGGGCCACTAGAGTCATCTGCATTTTATCTGAGATTGATGGGCCACTAGAGTCATCTGCACTAGAGTCATCTGTGTGTTTCTAAGTAGTAACTATCTACATAGGAACCAGGGTCATTTTTTCCTGAGATACCCTGCTGGTAAAGGATGGTGAACTTGGGATTTTAATAGTCTAGGGTAGAGCATGGAGTAGTCAGCTGATTATTATGTATATTTTATTTGTAATCTGTTTTATATTATTTTATATTCTACTGCATAATATCTTTATACAGTTAAAAAAAAAGTTTCTTGAAGATGTGCAGTGTGGTTCATATGGCCTTATCTGTTTCTGGGCACACTGTTGTTCCTCAAGGTTGACACCTTTCTTGGATGGTGCTAGCCGTGCTCTTCAGGAAGCTGGAGTCCATGTGCCTGGAGAATCAATAAAAAATCACATAGTTCTATCATAATCCTGTGTCTATCCACAGGCTCTCTTTATCTACCTTCCCTCTACTCTAAATTTTTTTCACCTAAATGCAGTGATTCTTGTTTTTCCTTTTTTCTGTTAAGAAGATGTCAAAAAGAAGTCTTCAAATCTTTTATGACTCATAAAATTTTTTAAATTATACCAGTTATATGTAATAGCATTTTTCCTCCTAGGCAAAGTTCTTGAAAGGTGTCTATTGAAGTGATTCTTTTTTTTTTTATTATTGGTTGGTCAAAACATTACAAAGCTCATGACATAACATCTTTCATACATTTGATTCAAGTGGGTTATGAACTCCCATTTTCACCCCAAATACAAATTGCAAGATCACATTAGTTACACATTCACATTTTTACATAATGCCATATTATTGAAGTGATTCTAAGGGATGAACTAAAAATGTCTTGAGTATATGTTAGTATCTTGCTTGCCTTATTGAAACAGATATCTTAAAGGTGATTCAATGGTAGGTGATTAATATTATTATCTGTAGGCAAAATTTGTTCAGATGTATATGGCTAATTATACTTTCTAATTATTACATTATTGATTTTTAAGGTATTTCTGACAAATGCTGCAAACGTTTTCTTGCTGGAACCATGTGCTGAAGTTCCCATGCTCTTAAAAGAACAAGTTGATGCTTGTAAAGCTGTTTTGATTATTTTTAGGCGCATGATAATGGAGCTTACAATGAATAAAAAGACATGGTAAGTTTATTTCAAATTAATTAATATCGTAAAATAGATGTTTCTATTTTTCAGCATAATTGAAATGTTAAGGTTTCCATTTATTTAATGATATAACCAAGTTAACAATAAGTTGATAATCAGTCTTTTGGAGCAGTTTCTGTGAATTATGAAGAAGGTAAGTACCCAGTACTTTGATAGTTCATTTATTTTCATTATTCTTTTTAAAAATGCTCTTGAACTAAAAGTAGTCATATTACTTAGTGGTAGGTTTTTCCATTATAAACTGTCATCACACAGTTTTGTGAAAAAGCAGTGCTTTATAATATCCTTCTTCGTAAGTCCTGAAGAGGTTAATTGCCTTGAAACTCTGTAAACTGATTTTTATTGCTTCAATAAAAATGAATAAAATGAATAGCTGATATGTGAATGGGTACAAGTACTACCTGTGTGAGATGGTAAAAATAAAATAAATAATAAAAGATGCAGGAAAATCTTTACCCCCCTTTCAGGCACAAGGAAAGCACACATGTCTGTTCATATTGTATTCTTCTAGTACTTGTCCTTTGAGGAGGAGTGACTAACAGTCAGTGTTTCACGAAATAGAAAGGATTGATCTGTGATTCAGACTGGCAGCTTGTCAATGTTAGAAAGATTTTTGAAACTGTAGAGCTTTTCATGGCTACTTTCTTCCAGAAAAGTCTGCATGGAAATTCCATGGCTCTCCAAGCTTTCATAGGTTCCTAAATTGACTTCACTCTGTGTCTTTATCAGCCGTTGCTTTAGTCAGTTTCATACTTTCTAACAGCAATTCCCTTCACCAAGGTTTTATCTGAAACTGGGCCTATCTATCTCTTATTTTCATCACATTTGCATGATGGGCATGTGACTACTTGTGTAGAAGGAATTGTTTTCCATTGTCTTAAGCATTATATGATATGAGCAGTCAAGACTCACTTGATAGGGGTTTAGGTACCCTAACTACTTAGCAACAGGCTGTCCCCAGCTCTGCCATTTATTCTCTTAACTTCCTCTTCAGAGTTGCTGTGCCTAGATCTTACGTGACTTGGCTACTCTTCCTTCTCTATGCTTCCAGAGTTCAGAGGCAGTCTATAGGAATAAGAAAACATGTGGATTAGAGTGCAGTGAGAATGTATGCCAACAAATAACTTCAGGACTGAAATCAAATTGGGCCAGTACAAAGAAGGCAATAAATCTCCAGAAGTCATTGATACTATAAGAAGTTTAATGAGATTCAACATCATGTATTATTAAGAGTAAATGCTGTCCTGTTACATAGAGATAGGAGAAAAGTATCAAGAAATTATAGTTTAGAGATCTCTTTTTCTGATCGTGATTACTATTCCCATTCTTGGTTTTATCACTAAGGAGTTATAAGGCCAAGGAGAAAGTAGTAAAGACGAATGAATGGTTAGTGTAAAAACCTCACAGAAATCGAGTGATTTCCCCCAGAGAACAAATGGACCCAACCTATACACAGAAGGTAATGTGTTTTCTGTTCCCACAGAATCCAGAAAAAGAAAACTCAAGCAGACACTTTGATGTGAAGAATATAATTTAGCTGTAAGAAAGAAAAATGCCCTTTGGCATTTTCCTGAAATACTGTTTATCATAATTAACAGCGGTTATGTAGTGTTTTCTACTGTTCCAAGACTTTTTTTTTTTTTTGGTACTGGCAATTGAACCTAGGGCCTTACACATGCTAGGCAAGCACTCTACCACTTAACCACATCCCCAGCCCACTTCTAAGAATTTTTACAAAGCCCCTTCTTTAAGATACTTTAAAAATGCTGGCACATTGTGATTGAGATGTTGGAACTGTAGTTGTCCCAACTGTCAGGATTTTTTGGGCACAAGCACAGTGCCCATTACTGTCCAGTCATGGCCTTTCCATGCCCTTCCTCCTTGCAAGAGGACTATGAAGCTCAGTTGTGCTATGGTGCTCACTGTATGTGTCCCTGGAGTGAAGACCAACCAGAAAGTCAGTTTTATATTCTATCACAAGACAGGTGGGGAGATCTTTTATGTTAAATAAAACAATGGATGGGAAATTAAACAGTGCTACGTAAGTTCAGACTGGCACAACTATTCCCTAAGTGCCCTCAAGGCTCTAGTACAGTTGTAGAAAAACCATCTTGACTCCCTTTCTGCAGTGGGAAAAAATCAGGGTAGGAAGATGTCTGTTTTATCCTGCCTATTGGTGTGGATGTGGGAGGCATGTTTTTAGAACTGTTGTAACATAAAATAGCTTATTTTATGATATTTTAATGTAATTGGCATGTAGACTTAGTACTTTTGAATAATATATGATTATTAATGTTGTTGAATTCTTAAGAGAATTTCTCATATCTACGAATTAAAGTGCTTGGGAGATGTGGTTATTAATATGAGCTTTTATTTTGGGTGGCCCAGGGAGCAGATGTTGCAAATACTACTCAGGATAACAGAAGCTGTCATGCAGAAGCCAAAGGATAAACAAATAAAGGACTTGTTTGCCCAGAGCTTGGCAGGGTTACTATTTAGGGTAAGTCTTTTATATTAAAATTCTGCAAATGCAAGAAATGAATCAGATTTTACAGAAAATTAGTTTTAATCATTGAGTATTTTAAGAATTTTCATTATGAAATTAATCTTGAATTTTTTAGAAACATTCCTTCTTAACTGTGTCCTAAATTTTGTGGTCTATTCTTTGCAATTAATGCTGGCTTTCCTACCTCTATGCCATCTAATTCCTCTTGATTTGCTCAAAGGTGATAGAAATTAGGAAAGTAACAAGCACTCAGAACCTTGGTGATGGATCAGGTAGGTGTGGAGGTACAGAATGTATGGAATGGAATAAAAACTTGAGAACCATCCATGTGTTAGACAATTGTATTTAAAGCCACATAACTGAATAGAGTCACCTAAGGAGAAAATACATGTCATAGAGAGAAGGGGACCAGAAGAGGGCCTCTCCACAATTGAGAGAAGAGGGAGCCACTCAGATGCTGAGAAAGGATGGCCAGTGGGCCATAAGGAGGCCCAGAAGAGTGTGCCTCGGCCTTGGATGCCTAGAAAGAGAAAAGCAGTCAGTTGACTGCTAGCTTTGTCAAGATGAAGATTGCTAAGAATGTTCTAAGGGAATGAGGCGTACTTAAAGTAGATGGAGGAGAAAATGAGAGCCAATTAGTGGGGCAGTCGCCTACTGTAGCATAGTCAATATTTATATGGTACATAGAATTTATGAACATTTCTGAAACAGTGTGAAAGGGCTCTGGAAATATGGGACATTCTACACAAATACAGGTATTGGTACAAAGGGTAGATCGGACATTGAATAATTTGTTAAGAGGAAGCATGGTGGGTCATGACCTGGAGTGATGATTGCAGGGAGGAGCAAGTAGTGTCCTTCCTCAGTTGACCTGAAAGTAGTTTTAGAGAATATATATTAAGAGCATACATAGAGTACAGATAGGACATGGAGGTGAAGATGACAAAAAGAAATTATAATGTGAGGGGATCAACTATTCATATCAATTTTTAATAATTCACTATGATTGAATGATCTTGGCTTGATGAAAAATATATAAGAGGCTGTAGAACTAATTGGCATGTACTCGTTTGCTTCCTGAGTACTATCCCTTTTGTTCTGATTAGCTTGCCTAGTTTGTGGATATGTGGAGTGGTCCTGCATTCTCTTTTTGCATGTGTCCAACTTTGCTTTGCTGTTGCTGGAGAGTTGTACTGATCACTGCTTTGCTGTCTGCCTGAACAAATGGACACTCTGCTGTCTTTGCTCTGGAAACATCTCAAGTTCCCATTCCTGGGCCTGGATTGCCAAGTGCATAGGAGCTAAAGCCAGTGTTAGGCTGGTGAGTGCTTGGGCCTCATCCTTATCAGTTGTCTGACCTTGCATCTATTGTGTTGGGATTTGAGAAAGAACTTGTTGCAGAATTAAGCAAAAATCTACTCTGGAGTTGTGGGGGTGAGGGTTGTTTGTTTTGTTTGGCTTTTTTGAAAAATCAAATCCCCTCCATTAATGGAGAAATCTTGTCAGATCTTTGTTGATAAATATTTTATGTGTCCATGGTTATTTATGCTTTTGATGTCATTGTTACGTTTGGGGAATAATTAGATAAATCAAGATACATGCTTAAATTTAGAATTAACCCTAAAATAGTGGAGGAATGATGGGCCTTTTAGTGTTTGACAGATCCTGGTTCTGATCCCAGCTCTTCCTCTTCCTGGCAGTGTGCCCTTGAGCACACCACCTCACCTTTCTGAGCCTCTCCCCTGATCTCTCACAATCAGGAGAGGACTCCTTCCTACACTGAAGGGTTGTCATGGGAATTAGAGCAGATTAATTGGGGATTTATGATCATCTGCTGGCCTCCCATGTACTTATGTGAGATCCAAGAAGGGAGAAAAGTGGTAAAGGTCTGAAGAGATTGGGCAGACTGTCAAGTGGGCACTATTTAGTGCCATACTAGATAAAATGTGCTAATTATGATTCATTTGTCATCTGACTATCTAAAATGATCAGATACTTGATTTTTTTTAAATAATTTGAAAAGGGGAAAGAAGATTTTAAGTAGCCATTATCTTTCTATCTATCCTTTACTAAATTTTCCTTTAGTACTTTTTTTTTCTTCTCTGTCAGTAGATACTCTAGGTTGATTTTGACTCAGTTTTAAATATTTACTAATTAATAGTGATTACCATTCATGATGTTTTAACCTTTTTTTAGTTCTAAATACGACCTTATGCACGAAGCTGTGAAGGTTTATCAGAAAACTATGGTCCTGCTATTTATAGTTAGATCCATTACTTGACAATTAAGAGTGCCTTTAAAGGTGGTAAGCAGAGAGATGTAGGAAGTGGTTGATTAGCAAATGTACCTAAAATGAGTGACTTATGAGGCAAAGTGTTTTATTATGTAGCTTCTGTGCTAAGCTATATTTCATAAAACATTGAATTTCAATACTGACAGAATTAAGAGGTATTCTTATCCACCTTTTTTATTTTTAGATGAGACTTGCCAAGTGACTTGCCCCAGGTCACAAAGAAAGCTAATGGCAAAACCTAGAGCTGGGGCCTTCTCTTTTCCTCCTCCTTTGATAAAAGAGTAATTAAAAGCAGACTCTGCCTTTTAATTCAAAGATGTCACCACTCCCCTCCCTCAGTTATCTTTTATGACTTTGCTCTGTGTGCAAGAGCTGTTATGAATTTGCTGATGATTCGACAGGTCTGCATACATGTTTGTAATATTTGCTAAGATGAATTTTATAAGCTGCATGAAGTCCTTCTGCCCTTGTTTTATAATTAGTCAATAAAGTGAAGCCAAAATAAAATTCCCAGTGTATAAAGGAATCTAACTACATCAAGACGTCTGGTTTTATCCCTAAGGCTACTATTGTAGCCAAGGGTGATGTCAATACGGGTCTCTACTCTTTCCTCTTACTTTGCAAAGATTATATTTATTGATCTAATATTAGATCAATATTTATTATTAGATCACTATTTACTATTGGATCAGTATTAATAATTTATTATATGCATGTATTTTATGGCAATGATCTTGAAGTTTTTGAAAAGAGAATAAAAATAAATAGGTGATAGCATTTCAATCATAAAAAATATTTAATAAAATTTTTTCTTTCACATTCTGTTAGTTTTCAAAAACATTCACATTAGTATCAGATTTTAAATGGGTACTTAAAAATTTTATTTTCAATATATTTAACTATTTTACTTCTTCTACTTTGACATTTTCGCTTTTAAGAAGTGCAATAAACATAAATTAAAGCACAAAGAACAGGTATATTGCAAAAGGTCACATTAAATATTATTTCCAAGTGGTCAGACTAGACCTACTAGATTTTTATTTCTCAAAGTTTTCCTATGTTTGAGTTAAAGAAAAAATGGTTGTAGTTTCAAAAATCTATATATAATTTATCAGGGATATCTTCTTGGGAGAAGAGATATCCAAGTTGTGACCTGGAAAATAAGTGGAAGTTAAAGAGGTAAAACGAAGGGAAGGCAGAGAAAAAAGAGTGTGTGCAAAGGCAAAGAGCAGGAGAGAGCAGGTCGAAGAACTGGGAGAATCTCAGTGGAAGACATTGAATTTTTTCACTGTCATGCTCTACTATAAACGCCTGTGGGACATATGAGTAGAGAGCTCTCTAATAAGCAAACAAATAGGCAGGAAACCAGTAAAGACATCAGGGCTAGACATGGAGATTCAGAAGTCTACAGCATACAGAGGGTAACTGAAGCCTTGGGAATGGAATGAAGAGGCAGAGAGGATCTGCCAGAGCATCAGACAGTACATGTGAAACATTCTTTCAAGAAGTTTGGCTTTGAAAGGGGGAGGGAAAAGGGCTATAGCTATAGGGAGAATTTGGGTTCAAGGAAAATGTTTTGTGTTTTTAAGGTTAGGAAAAATTGGAACACAATTAAATACTGATGGGCAAAAGCTGAGAAAGTAAGATAGGTTGGAAATAAAAAACGGTGAGGTTAAAGAAGCAGAAAAACTCTGAGGAAGAGGTCCAGAGCTTAAGTGGGGGCAAATGTAGAAGAGCAGGAGCTCCTTTTGGAAAGCAACCCACAGGTGGAGTCTAAGCTATGTGAATTCAGGTAAGAGCATAGTTCTTGTGGACTGAAGTTGAAGAGAGTCTCATTTAATGGGTTGTTTCCTCTGAGGTCTGCAGTGAGCCCATCTGCTAAAAATCAGGGAGGCGATGGTGGGCTGAGTTCACTTATAGATAAAGGAGGAGGAGAAGTAGTCACTGGAGAGCAAGGGAAAGAACTGACTCAGGAACAGAATTATTATTATACTGAGGGCTTTGTCTTTTCCCTAATTACAGGCAGGGCCAACTCCCTGCTCTAGAATAATACTGGGTCAGTAGCTTTGTTCAATAATGGTAACTGACCTCACAGAAACTCAAATCCTGGTTACAGTTTGCCAAATGATTTTTGATCAATTAAAAACAACATCGAAGAGTACTTATGTTTTAAAACTTTATTAGTAGTAACTTAAAATATTTTATTAAAAATTATACTTCTTCCCAATTGTATTCTCTTGTTGGTTGGTTTAGACTCTCATCGTGGCTTGGATCCGAGCAAACCTCTATGTGTATATTTCTCGAGAGCTCTGGGATGACTTTCTTGGTGTGCTGTCCTCCCTCACGGAATGGGAGGAGCTCATCAGTGAATGGGCAAACATAATGGACTCTTTGACAGCAGTGCTTGCAAGAACTGTTTACGGAGTTGAAATGACAAACCTACCTCTGGATAAATTAAGTGAACAAAAGGAGAAGAAGCAACGAGGCAAAGGTACTTCCACTCTCCCAGGGTAGCACCAAGTTCCTGGAACTGGGAAAGATTGTGTATTTATACATTGAAGCAATCAAAACATGACATTTCATAATGAACTGAATTAACCAAATAACATCTTTTTAATAGTGGCATTAGATTGTATCTCATATTACTCTGTTCCCTTAATGTGACCAACAAGTTTCTGAAGAGGCTGTGGAAGGAGAAAGATGAGACAGAAGTAGTAGCAGTCATAATATTGATAACTAACAATAATAATAATAATGGCCAGTTCTTTGAAGGTCATCTCACTTCACCATCATGATGACTCTACAAAGTTGATATTATTATTATCCCGGTAACATAAACCAAAAAAAAAAAAATGAAGTACATAGACTTTATAGTGATTGATTCATTCTAGATCACATAAGAAGTGATAAAGACCAAAATCAAAGCCAAGATTAGTCCTACTCAAGATTAGTCCTACACCACTAAGATGTAGCTGTTTGCCTTCTGAGGAAATTTTGGGAAAAATTCTGAATGCTTCCAAGGGAAACTCTCATCTGTACTCCAACTTATTCTCTAAAGATTGAGGTAGTTCATAGGAATGCATATAGTATAGTAGATGGAATGCAAAAAGAAATGGGGCAAAATGAGCAGGGAGGAGCTACAGGTATGGTTATAATACCAAATTGCATGCTGTAGAGCCTCATATGCTTGCTGGGAAGGTAGGGAAGGGGCATCCTTGGATTTGATTTTCATTTTTGCAGTGTTCTAATATACAGAATCACAGAGTACATAAAGTAAAAACAGTTCATTTCCTTAGGTGATATGTAGTTTGATCCTAAGACAGGAGAAATTTCTCCTTCAAACCCCATCAAGAGTACACATGAAGTGGCTGGGGTGTGGCACAGTGGTAAAGCACTTGCCTTCCACATGTGAGGCACTGGGTTTGATCCTCAGCACCACATAAAAGTAAATAAACAAAATAAAGACACTGCTTCCATGTTCAACTAAAAAATATTTTTAAAAAGAGTACATGATTTATTATAATAGACTACACTCAATAATAACCTTAATATAGATTGTATCAGTTGCATGTGACAATTCCCCCCAAAATTTAGTGCATTGATATAACACAACTTAATGAATTTTCAATTTGGATAGCACTCAGTTGATCATTTACTTTCTTAGTCTTTGCTTGATCCATTCCTTTTCTGGAGAAAATTAGGCTGTGTAAGGGTCAGCTAGACTGCTCTACTTCTAAGAGTTAGGTAGCTGTCAGCCAGGGCAGTGGGTATGACTGCACCACATTTCACTACCCTGCAGGCTGGTTTGGGCTTGTTCAGATGATAGTTTAGGGCTCCAGGAGCAGCAAGGGGGCAAGCTCAATTATTTCAGAGCATTTCAAGTCTCTGCTTGTTCAATTTTGCTACCAAAATAAGTCACATGATGAAGCCTGCAGGATTAGTGTGGGAAAGGACAACAGGGGATGTGGATATGGAGAAGTGTGAGCTAATTACAATGATTAGTTAACTATGTAACATGTAACTAATTGGGACTGATTCTTACAATATATTTATTGTAGTCTGAGAGTGGCTTGCCAAAGCCCCAGTTAGTGAAACAAGGCAATAAGAAGCCATAACAAAGTAGCTTAAGTACATGGCATTCCATAGGAACAGTTTAATCTCAGTTTAGATTTAGAATGTGTAGTGCATTTATTTTTTTAACATATTTTTAGCAATAGATCCCCTTTTCTCCACTTTCTAAACTCAACAGAATCCCTTTCCGGAATAACTTAGATTAAAGATTTGGGATTGAAGTAAGCCAGAAAGACAAGAGTTTGGGCCCTTGTCTTCTTTCCTCCTTGTCCTCTTTCACAGCTCTGGGGTCCTCTGTGTAAACCAGAGCCTGAGAGGATCGGGTTCTTCCACCTGAGAACTTGGCTTCCTAACACAGTGGATCTAGGCCCAGCAGAGAGTTTACCAGCTAAAAGCACCTTTCAGGTGGGGAGGGAAAGAACTGAGATAAGAAATAAAGATTTATTTTCTCTAACTCTCAAACTAATCCCGTTCCCTGCCTCCTGAAATCCTTATAATACACATACACACACACACACACACACTCTCTCTCTCTCTCATATTCGCCACCCTACAAAATTCTCTTCCCTCCCACTGTGCAAATATGAAGAGATATCCTTAGGAAGACAATTTTTAAAACACTGTTTTCAGAACAGTTCAGAACAAATTATTTAAATAATAACCGTGACACATATTTCTAACTTATATTGCTTTATTCTAAAGAGAGATTTAAATATTTAAATATGTAAAAATTTAAATATTCATTGTAGAAACACTTACCTTATAAACATTTATTATCTTTCACTAGACCAGTGAAACCAGAAAACACAGACAGAAGAACCTGGGTATGGAAATAAGCTACAGATTGCAACCACTGGCCACATCAGACCTATGCAAAAATCTCTTAAGTTCCTTATTTTTTTCCTCTTATTTTTCTTTTGGATCCTTGACCTTTCATTGAAATAATTGACCAGAGAAATATGAGAGAAAAGAAGTTGAATCTCAAAAGTTGAGTTGAATCTCAATACAATCTGCAGAATCTTATAGTTTTAGAGCTTTTTCTAAAATATGATTTTATATTTTATATTTTACATATATGTGTGTGTATATGTAAAATATAAAATATATAATAAATATATATATTTTTTTATTATCTTGCTTATTTGACCAAATCTACATTAGAGTTATAGGCATGTATTTATTAGGGCATTGTGGAACAGTTGGAGTCTAGAGGATGTAGTACTATTCTAACATCATGATCTCTGGTTTTTGGTTTGTAAGTATTTGTTTTAGAAGTGTCCTGGGAACTGTGATTTAACATCATTTGATGTTTTTGTACTGAGAAAGATTTATTAATATCTTTGTATACTGAAATGAATACTATGAAGATACATTTTCCAAGATAATTGAAAATACTTTGGCAACAGGAATGTTTAGTTATAATAACTTCCTAAATTGCCGTATGGGGAAATACTACCTAATTTGGAGCATGGGAACCTGCTAGTTATGTTTCATTGTATATATGCCATTTGCTGAGCTGCACCAGCTGTGAAATAAATGATGATGAAGTCAATTTATTTTTCTCACCTTATCATTTATCAGGCTGTGTTATAGATTCTCAGAAAGGAACAACTGTGGGGAGATCTTTTTCTCTCAGCTGGCGGAGCCACCCAGATGTGACTGAGCCAATGCGATTTAGGAGTGCCACCACTTCTGGAGCACCAGGAGTTGAAAAGGCAAGGAATATTGTTCGCCAGAAAGCAACTGGTAAACATTTATTTTATTTAAATATTTCTTTAAAATCTAATTGTTAACTAAAATGGGTTTATAGGAATACAGTATTTTAAAATTCTACCCAGAATTCAAATATTAGCACTTTTATTAAATGAAATTCTCTGTATCTTTATAGTTTTCTGCTCAGGCTACTTTTCAGATCACAGTTTTCAATATTTCTAAGTTCTCCATTATGAAAAGAACTGGGGATGGTAATATTGAATGAGATATTTGTGCAAAATAGAGAAAAATAGTAGTTTTGTTTGAACCTTGAAGAAAGTAGATTCCTAACAAATCTATCATTAGTTGCATTATTGTCATTGTTAAACAGTGTTCATCTAAAGAGTGTGTGGTAAGTGGTTCTGGCAAAGAAAAATAGACGAATACTCTTAGTTTTCAGGACTGGATGGAGACATTCTCATTTTTTGCTTCCTTGGAAAATTGATCTTTTCATTCCTATAGATGTTGTCTTTATAGTCTATTTGAATTAACAACTTGACCAAGAGCTCCCAGTTAATCAAATTGCTTTGAAACATTTTCCTCTTAAAATAAAGAGAAAAATCTTTTAAAAGGAAACTCGTATCCAATATTTAATAAAGACCAATAAAGCTCCCTCTTCCCCATTAACTTTGAGGCTGTACCTTAGGTTTCAAACAACTGTATTCCAGTTTCCTATAGTTTTTATGATCAATTATACCATGTAATTATAATTGATACTCAGCTTATTGATTTCAGGAAATCATCAGATCCTCTGGCCTTAAAGCAAGGATTCAGTTAAGCTGAACATACTTTACAGTGCTTACTAAAAGATTAGTATACATGGTTTAGGGTCCTGTTGGCATTTTTATGAAAATATGGTATGCCTTAACCCTAACTCTCTCATGATTTTTGCCATAGCATTTGCTGGTAACTATCACCTTATTTATATACCTCTTATAGTCTCCCTGTTTTCTTTCATTTTCTCTTCTGAGGAGAGACCCAATTCCTGATAACAGGCAGTTTTTGAGTGTGCCCTTCACTGATTTCCCTTTTCATTCTAATTCCTAAACACTCCTTTCTTCTACCATTGGATCCTTAAAGAAAAAGATCAGAAGTGTGTGACAAATAAAGGTGGAATTCTGCCTGAGCTGCCCAGACTTCCTGCTTTCCCTACCATCTTTGAATTATAATAAAAGTGAATTTAACAAATTAAAACTATGATTTTTAAATTTTATTCTCACATGTTAATGAGGAACAAACTATTGTACACCTCATGTTCCATATGACTCTACTTCGCCGAAACATAGACACTAAAGAGATGGCATCTTAACTATCAGCAGATATTTTAAACCAACAATATGGTAGAGGCATCAGCATGCTTTAGAAAATACTTAGAGCAGTTATGGCAGTGAGGTTGTTATTAGCCCTTTCAGGTGTCTGAGAAGCCATGGCATTAGAAGATCAAGTACTGGTACAAAATCATGTGAAAGTATTTATAGAATGTATCTTTTAAAACCATAAGCTTGGCCTCTGTAGGATTAATTAGACTTTTAGAAGATAAGAATCGTAACCTTTGAAAGATTATGAAGATGTTCAGCTGGACAAATCTATCATCTTTCTAAATCTATATCTATGTACATATATACATACATTTTTTAATTTCATTTTACTTTTTGAATAATATAAAATATCATGAATTATTTTTGTTATCTCTAAAAAAATGGCCTTTAAGGATTTTATTATATCATGCTGTTTTTAAAAATTACATGACCTAAATGTTGTGATTTTACTCGGTTTTCTTTTGTTGGTACTGGAGATTAGACTCTATTACTGAGCTACATCCCCAGCCCTTTTTGTTTTTTGTTTTGAGACAGGGTCTTTCTAAGTTGCCGAGAACCTTGCTAAGTTGCCGAGAGGCTGGCCTTGAACTTGTGATCCTCCTGCCTCAGCCTCCTGAGTCACTGGGGATTATAGGCCTGCACCACCATACCTGGCATTCAGCTTTATTTTTATTAAAAAAAAAAAAAAAAAAGCCCAAAATATTTTCATGGTAGCACTTAGTTTTTGTGGAAGCCACATTTTTATGAGAGAATACCAGCTCATGAAGTTATTTTTACTACTTTCAGTAGTAATCATTTTAATAGCAATGGTAATTATGGAAGATCCATTTGAAAGTGACTTTGCTTTCCCTAATTGCAATAAGAGATGATTTAAGAGTATTATATAATGATTTTCCCCACAGATTTCTTAGGTAGAGAAAATATCACTGATGGTGACATGAGGGAAAAATAAAGTAAGCAGTTGCAGAGTGGAAAAATGACAATTAGTTTAGAGAGTGCACTAGGTTATAACTTTAAAGGCCTGCAAGGAGTCTTAAGTAAGGAAAACTTACAAAAGAAAACTTTATCCCTAACTATGAATGATGATGAGTTTGGATTCCTAAAATGTGACAAAAATCAAAGCAAGTCTTTATTTTTATATAAAAATATCCTATATTTTATTACTTCTACAATTTCTAGTGATCAATTTTAGAGAAATGCCTAAACATTTAATTTATAAAAGGAAAACTTTTTAAACAACACTCAAAAAGTTTCCAACATTTTGAGAGATGAGCAAATCTACTAAGAAATTTGAAGTGAGTGGGTTTGACATTTACATGGATGTTGTCATTTACATATTATCTTCACACACATGTAAATTATACTGTAATCACTTTATAGATCATCCTTTTACTAATTCTAATAGGCAAAGAATGGGAGAAGGAACAGTAAACTAAAAAGTTTGTTTTACTTTTTATAAATCTGCCACTATTATTTCATTCATGATTTATAAAAATACATAAAATAATAAAACATCAAATAAACCTTATATTCTAAGGATGAAATGGATTTTTGTTGACTTTGGTTTTATATATATGAAACATGTTCTCTTGCTGTATCTGTCCATTTTCTCAAATATTTATTTGACCAGAGGTGTACAGAAAACTTAAGAACACCATAAAGTTGATATTAATAAACTATAGATTTAATAAGCATGAAATATGATATAAAAGGGTAGGTTTCATAGAGATTTTACCTTTTATTCAAATAACAAATCTTGTAATTTCAACTTGATTGTCACGCATTCTTGAGCTTTTAGGATATTTAATCTATTAGATGATTTGCTTTTGAATACAGTCAGCTTTCAGCAAACCAATTTCTTAGTTTTTTTTTTATTGTAGAAGAATTTTAATCTTAGGCCAGATTTCTCTCACTGTATCTTTTGTGTGTGTCCTTTAAGAAGGGAAAAACTATTGTAATGTCTGACTGAATAATCAACCCAAATTTGAATCTGATACACAACAGAAGAAAAGATGCTAAACATATAAAACATTCCAAAATAAAATTGATTTTTTTATTGTTTATTCTTTTTTTTTATTGGTTGTTCACAACATTACAAAGCTCTTGACATATCATATTTCATACATTAGAATCAAGTGTTTATTCTTCTATGTTATCAGGGCAACTGAAAGTTGGCTGTATTTTGAGACTACAATTTAATAAAAGTACTTTGTATGACTTCCTTTAAAGTTTAAAATGACCTCCTTGTAGTATTTAAAGAGAGACCAGAAAAATAGTAATAAAAAAGTAGTGAACGTTCTTGATAATGCTTCTGACATAATTATTACTTTATCTCTCCTGGAAGCTAAGCGAAGCCAGTCTATCAGCAACTGTGTCTACCTTTCTGAGGCTTTGCCTGCCACTAAAAGCGTCCCGCTCCTCCTTCACACCGTGAGCGCTCTCTTACCTGGTCTCTCTTACTCCTCTTGCTCTCACAGGCTGTCAGGTACTGTAACACTCTCTCATGTGTCCATCAATGTCTTCGAGATCCTCCTGCTTGCCTCTGGGCCTTGCTTCTTTTGTTAATACCTACATATCATATGTGGGTGCCTCACCATTGCGCTTGTGTTAAAGTCCAATGAATATAAGTAATTTTTTTTGTGTAGTTAGAAGTTTTGTAGTGATTGGTCAAGAAAAATTTCTGCAACGCCACTGGTCTTACATTCATAATGAAGAAGGATAGAGGATTTTTTTAGCCCATAGTTTTTAACAGGGGGAAATATGATGATGCATGCCTTCCTGTGTCTCCTCTAGAGTGCTGATAGAAAGTAAGGGAATTTTCATAAAATTTTATAACATGTCAGTGTTAAAATGCTAACTGTGCCTTTCAAAAATATCAATAAACTGGAAAATTATGCAGGTAAGACTTCTTTAGGGATACTAAGTCATATAAATAATTCATATATAAAGTAATCATCCGTTTACACAGACTCATATTGATAATTGATATTTAAGTAAAAAACCTAAAAACTAAAAAGAGCTAATTTGCAAAACAAACATTTTGTTACTGGACTTCAGCCAGTTGAAATTGAAATTGAAATTAGGTCTTTTGTGGTTTACTCAAAATATGGTTCTTGATTTACTAAGATGTCACAGTACCAGGCACAGTAAGGTGAATACAGTTAATAATATCTTAGAGTAGCTAGCTCAGAGGAATTTGAATGTACTCATCATAAAGAAATGATTAAAATTTAAACTTTGAAAGACATGCTAATTATTCAGGTCTGATCATTATCCATTGTGTACATGAATCAGGAACACTGCACATCATAAATATGTGTAATTATTGTGTATCAATTTTAAAAAGTTATTATAGTACCAAAGTGAATATTGATATATCCACCATAACAAAAATATTTACTTTTCTTCAGTGAATAATTACATCTATGTCTAGATATTTTTCAGTGACTCTAATGAAATATTTTCATACTCTTTATTTTCAGAAATCTTGTATGTAGATTAGTATTATTAAATATTGAAGATAGTCTAATTGTGGCTTTCTATGATTAAATCATATCATATTGTAGTTTGGCACAACAAAATTAATGGATTGGATGTATTTTCTTATGTTCATGTATGAATGCACAACCAGTGTAACCCCATATCATGTACAACCACTAGACTGGAAATTCATCC